CAGTTGAAGAGATGAGGTTGATGAAATTGATGATGAGGTTGATGAAATTGATGATGAGGTTAATGAAATTGATGATGAGGTTGATGAAATTGATGATGAGGTTGATGACAAGGATGACGAGGCAGAAGATGGAATAACTCCAAGAGTAGAAGAAGGAACAATAGTCGTTATATATACGATTGTTGTTTTAAGGGCATTGCTTGAGGTTGATCCAGATGAAGATGCCGCTGTGGAGGCCTGAGGAGTAACGGTTTGCTCAGTCGCTCCCGTTTCTACTGGTTCTTGACTTGAAGTCGTACTAAACTCCACGTTTCCAGTACTTTGCACTCCAACCGTACCTGCAGAACTTTCTCCAGTCGACAAAATACTTCCTGTTGAAATCGATATTGTCCCAGCAGTGCCTAGTGGTACCGTAATAGGCGACAGTGTCACCCTTATGGAAGATTGAGTAGTGGTTCCAGAAGTTTCAGTCGTGATACCAATTGTCGGTTTGAAACTCGGACCTGAATTACTGGAAATTGGTGCAGTGCCTGCGGCTGTTGTACTTGAATTTCCGATAATAAATGGGGCTACTGAGATGGTTGGTGATGATGGAGGTGATGATGAAGATGATTCTGAAGATAATGATGATGAAGATACTAAAGTTACTGATTCAAAACCCTGTGACGACTGTTCGGAAGTAATTTTCTGTGTTGTACTAGCTTCGGGTAAAGTAGTCGGAAGCGGTGGAAAAGTTGTAGTCTGTACGGAAATCAAACTTGACAGTGAGGAGCTATCCGATGCAGAAGAACTCAGCGCTGCAGTACTACTATCCGGTAGAATAGTAGGGAGCGGCGGAAAAGTAGTAGTTAGAACAGAAACTTGACTCCATATTGGGAAAGTACCGGATGTAGAAGAACTTTGCGCTGCAGTACTACTATCCGGTAGAGCAGTAGGGAGTGGCGGAAAAGTAGTAGTCAAAACAGAAGCCTGACTCGAAGAAGAAGAGCTAGCTTGCGACTCAGATGCACTCCCTGATGTACTCTGAATTGAAGTATCACTCTTCGTAGAAGATGCTTTTCCAGTAGATGCAGGAATGAATGGTGGTGTAATAGTGAACGTTAATTCTGTTGCGGCAACGTCTCCTGTCTTTGTTTGGGTACCACTTAGGGTACTTGATATTTGGGATGGAAATGAACTTGTTAATGCCAGAGTTGTACCGCTTGTACTTGATATGATCGAGGATATTAAAGCTGATTGTGTCGAAGATGTTGAAGAACTTAATGGAGTTTTGGATTCATTATTCTCATCCGACGATGTACTAGAAGTACTTGTGCTTTGAGATTCCGTTGTTTGAGATCTCTTCTCTGATTGTACTACTGAAGTTGCAGAAGTGCTACTCGATAGTGTCGGAATAACCGTCGTACTGGGAATTAAAGTCGAACTTCCTCCTGTCGAAGAGGATGATTCGATTTGAGTAGTAGAACTAATCGTTGAAGAAGTGAATGTACCAGGTAAAATCGTAATTACGATGGCACTCTCACTCTTTTCCTTTCCTACATGACCATCTCTTAAAAAACTATCACGGAGTTAAATTAGCATCAAGAAGACACCAATAAGTAACAAGTCATCCGTGAAAAGTGAATAGATGTCGCATTGAATACAAGAGAACTTACTTCCTACTCGTACCATTGCGCCACAACGGGCCAGCCGCACCAAGCTGAGAAAAGAAAAGTGCACTGAATAGAAAGGTTGGTGGTGTGATCTTCATAACTGTATTCGTCGTATTGAACTAAAGAAATATTTTGTGAAACGCAATTTTTAAGATCCAAAAGAAAGCTAGATGGGTGTGTATATGCCCACAGAAACAAATATGAAAAAGCAGATATTCAGTAGGGTATCAAAAGAAAATGATTAACAACCCAGAAATCAGCAAAGAATGTGTTAGATTTGTGAATAAAATCGCAAAAGAAAGGTCAAAAGAATGAAATGATCAACGATAGACAAGACAAGGAGGCAAAGAACGAGATTGAAAAATAAGGAAACAAATAATCAGCAAGAGAAAGAACTGAAATCATATTACCACAAAGCCTGGAACCCAATCTATATACTCCAGCACACTCGAAACCAGACCCGCGAAGACGAGCCAAGCAAAACCAATGCATGAGCAACTTGGCGCTTTCCAAAAATCTCATGCCATTAACAGGCAAGCCGAAAACTCTACAAAGTGCCGAACGCCAAAGCAAAAACCCCATCGACAATTCTCCTCGAACTCCGCATCCAATAAATCCAAACGACACAACCTAAAACTCAAACATGACGTTGGCGCTTAGTAAAATTATGCGTCTGAAAGTGTCGCATTATGAATTATTTGATTGGACAGCAATGAATTCAGGGGATCGGTTTAGCGAAGATGAAAAATGAGTGGATGAAACGATAAGCGCGAATGAAAGCTTGATTTTTCGATGCGCATGAGATGGATAATATGGACCAGTCGGGTAGAAAAAGATATTGATGCTTTTGGATGACTTGCAGATGAGTGCGTTGAATTATTTCATGTTGAGGCTCAATTTTCATGTTGTGTTAGGTTATGTTAAGGTTACCGAATAGTGGGTATTGAGCGGCTGCGCGTCTTGGATTGCGGGATCTATTAAGATCCAATAATTTGAGTGTTTGTATGGAAATTGATTGTCAAGTAGAGTCTAGATTCGTGGTATCTATTATTAATTGAAAGGTTGCATGAGAAATCTAGATCAGATGAAATAATAAGTCGAGTTTTTGCCTCGTAGATGATCTCCTACTCATGTCCATTCATATCCACCAATCACACCCAAAACTCCAGCTGCAACCTCTTAATCACACCATGAGCATATCATCTTTATATAATACATCCCCAAATCTCTGCTCATTCACCTGTTACGCCGAGTAACAAGGAACCCTCACGTGTGATCAATATCACGTGACTGGCTCAGTAAGGATCAGTGAGCTCAATACTGAGCCGCATTGATCCTATTGAGTAGCCATTGGTACGAAGGTCTATATAATCTAGATGGATTTCCTTTGTATAGAGCTTCGTGCTCAAGATCAATCATTTAGTATACTCTACTATTAGTTACGAATTGCATTATTGTCATTACTTTAAGTCCCTGCTTGACGTCTAGTTATAAACCACCTCGAGAGCCTAGAGCACTTCCACATGATCTAGACGGCAAACCTCGTAACACTAGGCCATTCATTTGTTTATATATAGAGTAGCTATCCTCATCTACAGGTGCTCTTCACCTGTAGATTCCAAGTTAAATACAATTGCTGGTCTATAAACACCCTTTTGGTCACACAATGGATTTTATTCAATATTGAAAAAGTTATTTATGTTAAAAGGAATGACCTTACACAGGGAATATTGGGAAGCTGATAAGGCAGAACTGAGGCTATATTGGTCTTGTATATGAATCACCTATTATCTAAGTTCTACGGAAGTGCGAAGCTCTCCTACAGAGAGCTTCTCAATCTAGTCCTAAAAGGACTAGTGCCCTGTGTACGTGCTACGCAGGAACCATTCACTTTAACAAAATATTATATTTAATTTTTGTTAAATTCTAATTAATTATTTTTTAAGATTACAAATTTCTATTAAATTATTTTATTGTTTAATATATATAATCAAAATAAAAAATATAAAGAATCTTTTATTTTGATATAGTTTTGTTTAATATCCAATGAGTAGTTTTTAGGACTCTTATATTAATATATACATCCACTTATAATTTTTTTCTTTGAATGAATTTTCAAAGCTAGATAATCATATCTAATAGAGACGAGTAAACAAACACACAAACACATAAGCAGGTAAGCATCAACACTCGTGACTTTAATTATATTAATTCTGTGTGGCAAAAAGTAACCTATTCACAAGCCCATAATTCGTATACCGGGTATCATAAACTTTATAACAAGAAGCACAAACTCATACTGTGCATTCCATTCCATCCCATTCCATCCCATTCCGTCCCACCGCCAGTTGATCCTAAAAAATCATTCATTCATTTACCTACCTCTCAGACCTCCGACCTCCGACCTCCAACTTCCCCACCACCATCTCCAATCAATCAAGCCACCGAAACACGCCTGTCTCTTTCCAAATCCACCACAATCCTACTCAAATCCTTCAATGGCACCGGTTTACTCATAAAGAGATTAATGCCACTGCTATACGCTTCTCTTTGACTTTCATCACTGGCCAATCCCGTAACTGCGACAATGACAGTTGCCTTTAAATTTTCTTCCCTCTCAAGCCCTCTTATGCGTTGACTTGCCTCGAAACCATTCATCACAGGCATACTTATATCCATGAAAATGACGTCCGGCTTCTTCTTCGCAGTTCTATACTGAGATACTGCCTGCTGACCATTTACCGCACAGTAGTATCGCATGTTCAGTTTCTTCATGCATGCTATAAGGATTTTCATATTGATGGGATTGTCTTCGACAAGAAGTGCAATCGGTTTATCGGACATAGGTGTATCAGAATGTGGAGACTTTTGAGCTAGCGGGGACCTGCTTCTGGGCAAAGAAGGAGAACTGGTTCTTCGAGGATTTGAAGGCATCGCAAGAAACTGACTACCATCGTGGCCACTAGACCTTTCGAATATAGTAAGAAAATATTCTGCAAGCTTTTTGGGACCAATTCTGGGATATTGTTAGTTTTCCAAGATCAGTCTACGAAAAGCATAAAGAAAGTAGCAAGAGAGAAGAAGTACATACGGATTGCTGAGAAAATGTATGTTCTGGTAATTGTCGAATGACGTTCTCCGTCGGGCTTGTGCACATCCTGTCAAAATAATGATATGCCTATTCCGAGTATCACCCGTAGCGTCCGAGAAGAGATTTTTCCAACTATTCTCCAATTCGTAGAATTTTTCAGAAGCTACCAGGAATACATCTCCCTTTGCGGCATCGAATCCAACAGCTTCACTAGTCTTCATTCCAAACCAATTCCTGGAGATCCTAGAGACCGCTGATCCTACAGACCTATGATGGTTCAAATTTGAATCTACTGATTTCTCTGGTTCAGGAGTCAAAGTCTCCATTCCTATCAATACCAACTCTAGACCATCGGTATAAGCTCTAGCTTTCTCAATATTGCTTGGCATTCGAGATACTTCTACAGTTTGTGGTTGGGACTTTTCAAGTTTGAGAACAACCTTAACAACGGTGCCGCTACCTTGAATACTAAAAACTTCGATTTTCCCATCAAGCGCCCCTACAATTTGGCGGACAATACTAAGCCCCAAGCCAGCACCAGGAGTCAAACTATCCTCCTGAGCGAACGGAGTGTATATCTGATGCTTTAGGAAATCTGCCGCGATACCTCTACCTGTATCGCTAATGGTCAAAGTAACAAAAGCTAGATTTTTTCTAGACTTTGGCGAAGTGGCCATTTCATAATTAAGGCTTACCTTGACCAATCCAGACGTAGTGAATTTCAATGCGTTTCCAAGTATATTCATCAGAATACGCTTCCATGCTCCAGGTTGACTCAGAAAATTCCAGTTCGATCTATGGTCAACGTCAAGGATGACAGATAGCGCCTGTGGTTCTTCCATTCCTTGCATGTCGGGTCTGGTTGGAGAAATTGGATGGTCCATATCGGTGCTGACCGTAGATGTTGATTGAAGAGCATAAACATGCCCAGCATAAATGCCATTTATAACATCCTCTGTGATAGAGGCAATATCGAGATCTGAAGTCAAGCTGATAGTTCCATAAATCCGGAACTTTTCAGCAGAAAGTGATTTCCTTGTTCTGGAAGAACTGCGTATAGCTTTTTGTTCACACTTTTGTGCTACGGTAAAATTGTTGATTTTTGCATAGTCTAGTACATTATTTAGCGTATCAAGTAGTGTGGCAGAACAGTGGCCAATAGTATCTACTACATCCTTTTGATATTTAGTAATCTGAGTGTCCTGTAAAAGTTCGATGCTTCCAGCAATTCCATGAAGAGGACTGCGCAATTCGTGACTAATGGATGATATTAAGGAAGTCTTGGTCTGGTCAGATGTGATCATGTCAAGACGGGATACTTCAGCCATGATACTATTCCCGAAAGCAGCCACGTAATTCAGATCATCATCCAGATTGAGAACTCGAGTTGGATCTGAAGTCCAGAGCATAGCACTAGCAAACCAGCGCCCACGCTGTGAATCCCATAATGGTAGAACCATTACATATCTGGCACCAGGAAATATCTGTAGCATAGTTTGACCCTCCAAAACTCTGGACGATGCCTTCCTAAGCAGTGAGCTATGACCAGAATCGGCAACAATTGCTATCTCTCCAGTAGCGGCAGCGTCGTAAAGGCCATCTTCACTTGATGACATTTGGCCTTCACCATCAAAGGCATAAACTTTGCCATGAGGGTGGCGCTTGAATAGGCGGCGAACAAAATTTTCCGTGACAGTCAAGTGCTCTGGCAAATTTGAGTCTCCATGCAATGTGCATTGTGATGCCGTAGAATATGCTAGTACCTCACACATCCGAGTTTGTGGAACCCCTCCTTTCTGGGCTGACTCCTTGCCGTAACTCTTATGTTCGGAGTTACTATCCGAAGTATTAATACGCGAAGAGGTTCTCTGGTCATTCTGATCATCTTCACTACTGGATAGTGGTGGCCCATCATGCAGACTGGGAGTCCTCATCGGATTAATGAATGATAATGAACGTCCACGGGATCCGAAAGTACTTTCCCTAGCATCAAAAAATAAAACTCCTTCTACGTCTGTTGACTCACGCATCAGGTTACTAGCGCGAGAAAGCATTCTCCTCAAGGTTTCAGCATTGTCGGAAACATCTCGGGCACTAAAGTCATTTGCCGGAGTGTCTTTTCCACCCTCTGATCGTTGCCTTTCATTGTGTAACACCAGCGGCGAAGGCTTGATAAATTTTCTTGCCGTCGAGACTGGAGATTTATAAGAAACTGGAACCGGACTGACAGCGATAGGTTGGTCGACCTCTTCCTTAGCAGCGGGCGAATTTTTCCTGATATGAGTAGAAGAAAGAGCAGGCGGTTGATAATTTTCTGTCTTGGGTCTAGTTGATACATCATTGCGAGGACCGTCAGAAGACGATATTGAGGAGGAAATTGGAGGGTTTGGTATGTCCAGTCCTTGCGATTGTTCAACAAATGATAAATTGGCCTCAGTACTTGCATTTTCGGTATCTGCTTTGCTAGAATTCGCAAAGTCGGCTGCTTCTCCGACATTTCTTGTGGGTTCCGAGTAGCTCTTCCGAACAGATGTCTGGCGATCATGTCGAGTACGCAGCCACCAAGATTTAATACTAGAGTGACCTTCTACAAACAGTCCTAATCCCTTCACCATCTTCTCCCCTCTCTGGTGGCCTCTTTTTACGGCAATATACTCAAGGTGGTCCATCACAGTATCAGTAATATCAGTTAAAAACTCCAATTCTTCTGGCGCTAACCCATTCCGTGGAACATCATCAAACACACTATATGCACCAATGTCGAATCCTCTTCGAGATCGTATTGGCACAGTAGCCACAAACCGAATGTTTGGACCTTGAATAAAATTGAAAGCATCTTTGAGGGTCCCGTCATCAGCAAGATCGTTTATAACTTTTGGTATGACTTTAGGCCGAAACTCAGCATCGATGCGATCGTTTTCTGATCGCGGCGTATTTATAACAGCAGCACATAATGAATCTTGGCGAGATATTGTTCGTACGCCCAACCATAAGGAATCTCCGGCATCGTGTACATCGTCATCCTGAGATGATAACGTTCTTGTCGACTCGGCTAGAATGTATTCATGCGTACGATCAACCAATGAGATCATAACCCTCCTTGCTTTTAACCGTAGAGCACCAAGCTGTGCGAAGGCATTGAGTGCCCGATCCGAGGAAGAATGTGCCTTTGGTGATAGCCTTGGAATTTCTGTGTTTTTACCATCTTGTTTGGGCAAGGGAATGAGGGGCGCGGCGAACGCGGGGAGATATCTAGAGTGGTCAAGATTAGGTTCGAAAATTGCAAGAAATGACCAGCAGAATGTATCCAACCGACCTATAGACCTCTCGAACTCGTTGAACTTCAGAACCCCTAATAGGTGTTTCCGAGCTGGGCTCCGCTGGCATCGCAGCTGGAGGCGAATTAATGTGACGTTTATACAATTGCCATCCTCAAATATAAGGTTCAATCTGCAAAGGAACTGGGGAGGTAAATATGTAAACAAATTCAACTATAAGGTTACTGCGATTGGTAGAAAGTCAAGGGAATAGGTAAAGTCAATACAAGTAAACGATTATCAAAATTCACTTCACGGGTAAAGGACCAAAAAGATTGGTGAAAAGCCAATAAGGCGGAGGAAGTTTTGAAGATCGATTGATCCGGCTGGCCCGATTGGTAGGAGTGAAGGGAAAAGAATTTCTGCATATTGATCGCTGCATGGTGAATCGTAAATCCGATGGAATTTGATACATTAGCGTTTCCAATTCAAGGTTTGTCCGGTAGGATGATTTTAAGGAAATGACTGTCAATGGTTGGATTTTGAATAGAAGAATGTAAGAAGACGGATGAAGAACATAAAGGTGGAGTAAAAAGATAAAATGTGAAGATAAGAAAGATAGATAAGGTGAAAGTCGATCTTGCATAAAGATATAATCTATATATGCAGGTTTGCACAATCACTTATGCAAGTATATCAAATGTGTAACCTTATTCGTGATCAATCTTATATAAAGATCCATCAGTCACTCAAATTGATAGTGAGGATATTTTGAATGTATATATATATCTATTATTTCAACTTGGTAATAACTTCAAGATTTCATATATATTATAACTATTATATAAATAATATAATATAAATACATCTCATACATCATCAAAGTTCTACCCACTCTCTCAATAATCAACTACATCTAATCTTTCATTATAAAAATAATTACAAAATCCAGATATATATCAATAATCGTCATTAATACAATTACCTTCTCATCTTTCAACAGAAGTTCTCAATATAAATCTTCAAACCCAAGACAAACAAACCTATAATCAAAACCTATATCCATCCCCAATCTCCAGTCTTAATCTCAGTTGTTGACCTCCTGGGATCTTGACAGCATATGCATATATATTGCATGATGCATATAAGGAGCAAACAAAACTCAACTTTTAATTCATTCTTTCCTTTTTGGTATACTGTTTGTTTGCTATCAATATTTGGATTTCAAAGCACTTTAATTCCGAAGGCTGAATACCTAACCTTATTCCTTCATTTTTTTTTTTTGAATATATACTCGCAGCTTAACTGCTTAGCTAGAGAATCAATCAATTCAATCTGATGCTCTTTCTGGTCTCAAGAAACCCAATACCAGTCTTAATCTTCAATCTTCAATCTTCAATCTTCAATCTTCAATCTTCAATCTTCAATCTTCAATCTTCAATCTTCAATCTTCAATCTTCAATCTTCAATCTTCAATCTTCAATCTTCAATCTTCAATCTCCAATCCCGAATAATCCTTTACCTTTATAAAAAGAAAAATACAATAAAAAGAACCCCATAACCTTACCAACTAATAAATTTGAAATTTCAAAAAGCCCAAAATACCCAATTCCCCACCCCAATCTCAATAACATACAAAGCCCAAATAAAACCCCCATCATCTCATCTCCAAATACTCAAAATGGAAAAAATGAAAAAATAAAAAACCTCCTTTGAATTCCCGTTCCCTCTTTTTCTACTCAAATAGTACCTAGATCGCTTGCCTGAGACAATACACAAATCCCAGGGGGAACCTTCAAATCTCAAATTTTCCAACCCAGAAGATCCGCCCCCCTCCCCATCCCCCAAAAATCTCTATCGTCAATCTACAAGCCAAAATCTCACCTACCCACCTAATATCAAAACACCTCACCTTTAAACCCTCCCTCTCCCCCTAAGCAAAACTAAAAAGAAAAGAAAGATAAAACAAAACAAAAGAAGAGAAAATACACAACCTAACAATAGGTACCAACACAACCACAAGCATAATCATAATCACCCAAACCCATCAGACCAAACATTCACCTACCAAATCCCAAAGAATGCCCACAGTGACAATAAAACGATACAATATGACCAACCAACCAACCAACCAAGCATAACAAGCACAAGCTCAAGCCCACAAGAAAGATGGCCGAGATCGCAGCCGAAAAAATGAATCAACACTGTCAAAATCTCCAAGATAGTATGAGGGATTATTCTAATACCTAGAGTATCTCCTAGTCATTCTCTTTGCTACTTACTGTCTAGTTCCAATAGTCTTAACCACAATTTACAAACAAGGTTTTTGTCCTGAGGAAAAGTTTGCTATCTACTCTATCTTGTCGGCTTAAAGGAGATGCAATATTGGTAATACAGTACATGAAGCCGGCATATGAATTTGCGGTCGAGATAGATACATCATGACCTATAAGTGTGTCGCCGGGGGAACATATTGCGATGTATATGATTATCGAGTCGCGACTCACGACCGATAATTTGGTCTGATATGACGTATCTGCAAAAGAGCAGGTGAACGAGATTCAAGAAAAGAAAACCCCTCTCGGTATCATGAGGTGAAGTACATTACAAGTTGACCAGGTAACGTTATATCCAGGAACAAATTAAAGTTGCAAGTGATAATTAACGCTTCCCGCATGTAGATCATTGACTGCCTTGCAACTCAAATATCAGGAACATAATGATCATCAAACGTTCCTTGTCTTTGACATTTTTAAGATATATACAGGTGAGTCTTGAGGAAATGATCGACATCCAGGCCCTGGGAATGAAGTGATGGCATGAAGACATGAAGACTACCTACTTGGCACTGTCTTTTAGTACACCCTTGACTCACGGGCTATGCGCTACTACTAAATAGCCAGCAATTAATCTGTCATTAATGGTGTACTAATGCTTTTCAATGAACAGATTTCCTCATCTTGATAGATATCGAGTCAGGGAAAGTATAGAACCGTAATGTAAATGGAATGGGAAACTTTAAATCTTGGACTAGATCACCATGGTCTAGCACAGACAGCGACTAACAGCCGTTAACTTGTTGGGAATAGCTTAGCTCAAAGCAAATAGTGAATCGTGATATCATCCGATCTCAGTACACTAAAGTGTATGGAGCGAAAAATAGTAGAGAGTACCTGAGTAAGTATCCTAGTTGCAGCACATCAAAAGATATAGTCTGGAACTACCAGGAACTTACAACGGTTTTTATAGTGCAAAGCCTTGAAGTAACAGCTCTGTAGTGCATAACTGTTTTTCCATGCTAACCTTCGTACACTGCCGAACCTGATGTCAAAACATCATAATTGAGGATATCGAACTTACTAATCGTAGTACAAATATTCATTAGAGTTATTCACCCCATTATTGCAAATCAGCAATGAGTTGGTAGTCGTCATAGTTCATGCTAGAAGGAATTCAGCAAAATCGAACCACCATTACCATAAAACGGTCATTGCGCAGATATTCAAAGCAAAGCAAAGCAAAGCTCCCTCCATGTTTAAGTATGGAACCACCAAGAACGTAGCTCTGGCGCAACAACAAGCTTTGCCAGCGCACAACACAACGGAAACTAGTTTCTGGGTCTCTAAGCCATTGCTGACAATTTAATTGGTCGAGTGAGTCCCGTGACGTAAAATCATCGGAAGTTTTTCTTTCTGCTGATGCATTGGAATGCAGGCTCGATGTGGAACATATGATGCATATGGTTGAGGTGAAAAAGTTTAATACAATGGACGATAGGTTCAAATGCGAAATCAAAGAAATATACTTTCCAGGTACCAGGAACAAAGACGGCACCACTGCCTCGGCAATGAAATATTTCCAATCCCAAGCAGCCAAGGGCCTCTATGTGGCTGAATAAGGATTTGGATGCTGTGTAACCCACTGTAGTGGGATTCTGCCATTCTGGTCAGTTGATGGATGGGCTTTCTATCAAAAAAATTAAAAATTTCCATATATCCACATACTAGTTGTCCTTCATCATGCACCCAGAACACTACACCATTAATGTACTGCCACTTATTTTGGAGTGATTCTGTGATTACTTTTCGTGCCTTGCATTTTGCAGATGCAAAGGTAGTCTCTTTTTGTGGTTCCTAGGTGATAGGCAGATTGGAACCTGGATCCTGTTGTCTGGGCGTGGTCCGGCTGGATGACTAGATTTGCATAGGACCTGCATTAACCAGTCTATAGTCTTTGAAATAGATTTGCCTTGCTGCTGGACACTGGGCTGCTTGGTGGATAAATGTTGGATGATTGTACGGAGTGCGGAGTAAGTCTGTATGTACTAAGATGTGTATAGTATACTATGTGTATAGTACTCCGTATACTGTGTGTGTACCCAAAATGATCATAAGCGATCATCCACAAGGGTTGAATAATACAAGTAAGCTTACTCTTCTCTGGGCAGATAATATGATAATCATCCTTATGGTCTCGGAGTATCTTGGTTTGAAGTTAATTGAGATCTGGTTGAGCTTTGCAATAAACTAGATTCCTTCGTCCATCCATTTGCCGATGTTGGTATATCCATTAATCAATCTCAGCCCCTCTATCTAGTCCTTGAAGGAGGAAGGGAAGTTGAACTACTCTGTATATAGTTCCTACTATATATTTTTTAATTCTTTTGGCGGTGAGAAGATAGTAAAATAAATTACCCTTTAACCCCCGCCCCTCGATTGCTTATTGCTTATCGCAGAATAGCGGCGGCACATTAGCTCAGTGGTAAAAGCGCACAGGGCGCATCGGAGTGAAAAAGTGTCAAGAGTTAAGACTCAAGACTCAAGGCTCAAAGCCCATGTGAGATTCAAGGCACAAGGGAACACATGGACACAGGGACGAATGAAGAAGAGGACCATTTTCTTACCGTATAGAAGGCGAAAAGAAAAAGATCCGATACGATACCAAAAGAAAAAAAGAAAAAAAGAAAAAAAAAAAGAAACCATTCAATCAATCCATATCATTCATGTTCACGAGGCGGCTCTTAATGCGTTTTCAGCACACATCATCAAAATACTGTAATATTGCAGATGCAATGAAGAATCTGTTACGTATGATCCACTCGTCGCAAACAAATAGAATTCTTACTAGTATCTCTTACGAGCTTTGTTACTATTTGGCATTGATCCACTGTTGCAAAATATAAGACGATGACTTGCAGTGCTCGCTGAGATATAATAGGACACTATCAAGTGCACATGCTGCAAGTCGGAGCAGTTCAGGTAAGGGACAGGAACATAAAGTCAGTATCCTGGACATTTTTGAGTGGCTCTAGTGATAGTTTCAAGATTGGTTATAATTTAGCTTCCCCCTTTTTCCGCTGTCATAATTATCAATCATTAAGTGATCAGGCACTCCGTAGCCTCCTGCGAACTCCGTACATTCATCCATTTAACGTTTGTGCTGATGATGTTATTCACTTCCTTTTTCTCTCGCCGTTAACCGTCTTCGAGTCAGACAAGTAACGCTCAGATGTTAGCAGACTCTAGCTAATATGGTATTTGATGATCATAGGAAATAGTGCGTGGTATTTGACTGAAAATGTCCTGCATAGGTCAGGAAGAAGAGAACCGAAGAATGTATAACCTTAACCATGGAAATGTTTTGGTAAGCCATACAGACTGTACCTAGTATCCCGTACCAGTCTTTTGCAACATACATGACTCCACCGACCTCAACACCCAACTTTTACACCCAATCCTTTTCTTGATTCCTATTATTGTCATTCATTAACTTTCGTACCTTTCGTAACCTTTACGTGCTTAGGCGTCTTTTCCTTTCGCTTATCGTTACGCTACTCATAAGGTTATTGAATCCATCGATAAGTACCAATAGTTCTAAAATTATAGTCTTGTAAAGTCTTTTTAAAGTCTTTTGAATCCTTGAAATGATAGTACCCCTCTTCCACTAGATAAAAGTATGAATTTAGTATCTTTCACCAGCGATATTTTCTGGTGCAAGCGGGCCGATCTTATTTCATCATCTAAGAGAAACGAAAGAGCTGGATATATATGAAAGCCTTTGTACCCCTTCATCAATCCTTATCCTCCACCTTTCCTCCACAATTTCCTCCACCTTCAATCAAAAAAATCTTGCAACTTAAGCAATTTTATATGAACTCCTGGTCTCTGACGCATTAAAACTTCAAGGTTGTTTCTGTTCAGGTGTTCTCTCCCCGATCCGAATCTTTCCTTGCTCACAATTTGTGAACACCTTTTTAACCTACTACGTACCTACATACCTATCTCTTACAGAGTACTCTTTCTTACCTACTTACTCTCAACCACTTACTCTTCACCTCCCTTACCCCTTCATTTTGCTTTCTGGCACGCTGAAGCTACACCTTCGCGCTACAGAAAGTCAACATTTTATTAAAAGACAACCATAAATTCATTCATACCTACCTACCTACCTACATTATCTATCTCCCCTCTAATCCTCAAGAGATCATCTCAATCCATCTCATCCAATAATCTTTCAATTTTCGACGTTGAAATCGTATTGCAGATCTTAAGAACTCGTCTAAAGCTTAGAAACAAAAACCCTTGCAGATCTTTCGCAATCATTTCATCTCCGAAACGAAACGAGGCAGAAGGCAACAATTCTCCCGGTCGCATATCATATCGTAACCACTATTTCCTTGTCCCCCCGCCATCCTCTTATCGACAGCACAATTATCGCCGTCGCCCGGATAACCTACAAGCAAATCTTGAGGATCTTTTCAATAAAATCTTTCCTCGCTTCTTGATCTATCATCATCGCGATATCTTTTTCCGACTCCGCCTCAGGTCAGGCTGTGTCTTTTTTATTCTTCATTTCCAGGGCTGAAAAGAATCATCGGAGCTGGATTCTTTTTGAAACCAAGCCTCTACTCGAGTACCTTGCCCTGCTTACGAATCCCATAAAACAATCTCATTTGCCTTGATGCGGTGACAGAGATAACCATCTTTATCATCTTATCCTTCTCACCCCTTTCACGACCTTCTACCGCCGCTACCCCCTTCTCGTCCAGTCCGCAGGGATCATATCACTGCCGCCAGTCACAATGTCTACCGACACTCCATCAACTCAAGAGGCAGCATCTGACCCCAGATCTAGCACCTCCTTCTCTCCTATAAATTCCAATTGTACAATTAATGTCAATGGTTCCGAAGTTGAAGGACCATCCAGTCGACAAAATCCCCAAGAGACAACTTCCACGACGCCTCGACCTAGTACCGCACCGAATACCCAACCTCGGCCGATGCATGGAACGGAAGATGCAACCACTCCTACGACAACAACATTTGGAGCAGCCTCAAGCGCACTTGCAAATCAAAGACCTCTCCCACGTCCCTTCGAAAACTCTGCATCCGTTTCCGAGTCCGTAAGAGACATGACCTCAACCCTTATCCGAAACAATTCAGTAATGTCAAATAATTCTGGTGGTTCCGAAGATGTTGACATGGATGATTCGGATGTTCAAAGTTCCAATGGTGATGGTTCAAGACCCAATAAGAAAAAGAAAACTCAAAGATTCTTCTGCGTGGATTTTCCACCATGTAATCTTAGCTTTACAAGAAGTGAGCATTTGGCACGACACATAAGGTAATTCACTACATCTCAAGCTACTCCACAATCTTTCCGTCTGCTAATTGTTATCCTCATCTAGAAAACACACCGGAGAACGTCCCTTTGAGTGCCATTGTAAGCGCAGGTTCTCTCGATTGGACAATTTGCGGCAACATGCTCAGACGGTACACCAAAATGAGCCAATTCCCCAAGACTCTTTGGCAGCCACTGGCACAAGATATCCTAGACAGGCTCGTAATGACAGAGTCAGGCCTGCTGGAAATAGACCCAGAGCGGCTACAGCAAGCGGACAGGCACCTATACATCGTGGTCACCATCGGAACTCCTACTCCACCTCGAGCATCAACTCTACTGCATCTAGCTACAGTCAACCAAACAGTTTCAGGCCACGTCCACCCCCTCTACAGATGGCTAGCTATGGACCAGATAGCCCTTCAGCATGGCGACCAAGTTCACCTGGAGAATACAGTACACCTACCTCTGCTACCTTTTCAACTGGCCAGAATAGTCCGCGATGGGCATCCAATGTTCAATCACCTCTTATGGGCACCTATTCACGAACTGCTAGCATTTACGATGGACATCGTACTCCTGGTCGTAGATTATCTACACCTTCCGCCGCACACCCATTTTCCTCGCCAAGCCTTGCTCCTCATCCTTTCGGCACTCCACCAACTTTCACTGCGCCGACACCCTATTCCCCCGGTATGATTTCAAGTCCTACAACCTCGACGGCGGGTATGGGACAATTGGTGAGGCAATCGATGGATATCATTCATCCAGATATGGACAACAGAAGGAGAACATGGCACCAAGGAACTGATGCAGCTACACTAGCATACACTAGCAGGCTGCAGAATGTCATGACTCCAAATCACTATGCAAACGGCCCTATTCCTGAACCTCCTACGATTCTTCGCAGCAATGCTCCTCCAGCGGAACAGACAAAACTCCCAGGTATATCAAGTTTGTTCAGCGGGGATTATTCGTCTCACCGTGCTTCAAGTCATATGATGACTGATAGACCAAATTCGTACCATCAGCCAAGCCCTACCATGGCCGACTTGAACTCACGTCGCCACCCAAGACATTCCATGGTGGAGTCAAACTTTTATTCTCAATCCAGGCCTGCGCCAGTTAGAGACCGACCTCTTAGCTCTCATCTTGATCGACAATTCACCCAATTAGACCTTCACGGTCCACCACAAGGAGACGCAGCAACCTGGGCTTCCGACACAGCTCGTGCTGTTCGTGCTACTGCAGAGGAAACACCAGCGGAGCGAACAAGAAGAATGATGGAAGAATGTGGCAATATTCATTCCGGCTTAGATATAACACTAGTAAACGAACAAAGAGTAATGTTTGAGAATTCAACACTTGGTCCTCGGCCTGGGCCCTCTTCGTCTTACCACCAGCATACCGCTAGTGCACCGGTCACTATGCCCAGGTCAGACAGGCGTGATGGATGGTACCACGGACCAGGAGTATATCATCAGACGCATGATAACAGATTTCAAGGAACTTCCCCAGAAGGATCAAGCAGTTCCGAAGGTGCAGCACCTGTAAGTCCGCAGAGCGCCAACACAATGGATCACAATCCTCCCGTTCTACGATCAAACGGTTACTCTGAAGAAGCTTCTCGACCCATCCGTCCTCAACAACCAGTCATTCACCACTACCCCTCACAATTAAATGGAAGTGAACCTTCTTACACGTACGGGCCTTCTTCATCCACTCAAACTATGTATCAGCAAATTCCCAAGTCACCTGAGCGGCCTTACCGCACTGCTCTAGACACTTTGGTCGCTGTCGCAACAGGTGATCAAATTCCTGTGCCAAAACCCTTTTGAAGAATTGATTTCGTTGGATCATGGTTTTTGTGTATATATTACACCTCGACTCAATTTCTTTTAAAATACCCGATTCGCATTCTGTTTTAAGAATGTTACGAAATTATGAAACAAAGACGGATATACATTTTATCTTCACGATTCCCCCTTTTCTTTTTACATCTACTGGGACAGGGACATTGTGATTTGGTAGCGTTGGTGTTCGGGTATCTTGACATCATTGCTCTTGACTTTTTTTCTGGTTTTCCTCTCTCAGGGTTCATTCATGTGTCTACACAGTTATACGCTGTGACTTGTACATCTTGTCTCGTCATCTAGGATTTAGGACCTATTCCTGTGTCCACAGCATTTTCATCGTGGCATACTGTATCTTTGACTTCTCCCCATGTGCAGCAATGTGCTACTCGGAACGTATGGATTATCATCAAGACGATTATCACCATCGAGTTGGAAGAAGCCCTTGATCTGTATCCATAGCGATTTTCTTTTCTTTTTCTTATCTCGCCTGACTATCAGGCCCATCATTTTGAACTACTCTGGGTTGTTTATCATGATTTAGCGCTATTGGGGTACGGGAGGCTTCGGTTGTCATTTCTAGCGTCGGGACAGGCAATTCTCTACTCGGGATTTCTTGGTGGGCGGCATGCTTGACTATGACTATTAAGGTTTTTACTTTTGATACCTCTATACCCCAATACTACTATTCAATCGCTTTCTCGTCGTCCTCGTTGAATTTTCATTTTTTTTAATTTACGGTCTTAGATGTTGTAGTGTGTGTGTGTATTCATCAATGAATGTAATTGGATGGCTTGCATAATACTCGGACTCGGTTTATGGATCGGCAGTGGATAATGCATGGGGAGGGGAGGGGAGGGGAGGATGGTATGATGTCATATGAGATTAGGAAATTATAGGATGGGGAAGGGGGTTGGTGGTGATAGCTGACTTAGTACTTTGTTTTGTTTGTATGTGTGTATGTATGTATGAATGTATGCGTGCATGTTTATTTACGTTGTACTTCCTTGCGAGTAGGTGATTCGATATCTAGCATCCTCCTCGCTGCGGCTGTGGCCTGTGGAGTGGATGGATATGGATATCGATATCGATGGGTACGAAGACAAATAAAGAATTACTGAGTTCGCTTGTCTATATATGTATGTATGTATGAAAAAAAAAACTTGGTAGCTGAACTAGAACCTGATCTGAGCTGACCTGACCTGACTTGGAATTTTGTCTGTGCTGGTGAGTTGAGTGGGTGGGTGAAGAAGATTTACCGGATGAAGAATCTGTGTACATATGTGTGTGTATTGTAATGCAAATGTATTGTGGGTGGGTGGATGGGTGGGTGGGTCCCTGCATTTTATAAAAATATCCCGCGGTTATTAAAGAAATTATTACAAGATATATCAAAAAACAATTAATTATACTTTCTTTATTTATAAGAATATTAATTAAGAATATTATAATGTTAATTGAAAATTAATATTATTAATTTTAAATGAATAAAATGTTATAAATTTTTTTTGGTGATAATTGATTGAAATTATAAATTTATTGAAATTCGATAAATAACTTTAAAATTCAAAATTTGAATAAGGATAATTTAATATCTATTCTAATTGTTTAAAGTAGTATTGAAAGATAAGAAAAACAATAATATATATAAAAATAAAATATATCTTACAACACTTACCCTTTCAATCTCTGTATTCATTCAAATATATGTTGGAAGTCTTGCTTCCGCATCTATCCTTCCCTTGTGAAGAAAATAACTTGTACAGATAACTTGTGAATAGATAAATAGAATAAATTACATAGATAAAGATTTCATGTTGATTTTAATCTTATAGAGTTTTGTGCATATTTCTACGCATATGTATCTAGGATTTTTGGTGTATAATTTATAGTGCATGCCTAGTGAGTGTATACGTATATGTATGTAGATCCCAACCTCCTGTTTTCACTCACACGCCCCCACTTGTTTGGTGTTTGGGTTGGGTTTTGGACTTTGGGATTTTGGACGGAGGGTATGGAGAGATGGGATAGGGGGTTGTTTCTATTTTAAGTGTTTGTGTGTATGTAGTATGTATATAGATAGTAGATAGGAGGAAGTATCTTTAGACTCTAGACTTTAATAGGAGGGGCTTATAGCTTTTAGCTTGTGGGTGGATTTGTGCGAACAGGTGGGTGGCGGAGTATAGGTTGGGGGTTTTTAGATTTGGTTCGGTTTATTCGGTTTGTTTGTGTGTTTTTTCTTTGAAGGTAGAAGGGGGGAGGAGCGAGTTGAATTGTTTTAGAGAGAGGTGGGGTTTTATTTTTTATTTAAATGGGTTGGGTGAGGGGATTTGGGGTTTTGATGATTAGTTTATTTTTGATTTTGATTTTTGGGGCGGACATTGGACGGCGGAGATTTTCCGAGGAGGACAAGTTATTTATATTATAGATGGATGAATCGGTAAGAGATAAGGGTGTGTTTATGAGTTGGGAAAGAGTATGAGAATGAGAGAATGAGAGAATATTGAGATTAAAATAATAAATAGGATATTAAAAAATAAGTTATTATTGAAGGATAAGAGTTATAATATTTAATAACGATTAAAGTATAATAAATATATGATTTTTGAAACGAGAGAATTAGATTTTTTAAAATATGTTAAAGTGAATGGTTCCTGCGTAGCACGTGCACAGGGCTCTAGTCCTATTAGGACTAGATTGAGAAGCTCTCTGTAGGAGAGCTTCGCACTTCCGTAGAACTTGGATGAAGAGTGATTAATACACTAGACCAACATTACCTCAGTTCTGCCCTATCAGCTTCCCACTATTCCCTGTATAAGGTCATTCCTTTTAACATAAATTATAAAATTCTCTAGATTGGATTTTTTAAAAAAAAAATTCATTATATAATTGAGAAATTAGTATATTTTATTTTAAGAATCAAGCCTGAAATACAATAATATAATAATAATAATAAAATTTATAATTGAGATATAATAATATATATATACCACTTTTCAATATTATCAATTTTTGAAAAAAAAAAAAATACATATATATAAATAAATATACATACTCCAAAAAAGAAATCTCTCGAAATGCTATTTCAATAACTTTCAATCAATCAGGCTTTATCTTTAAGAAACATTGCACGGATCACTTTTGGAGCCCATTGGCATTCTTGGTTATACTATATCGATCTTTACCATCCAATTCAATCCAATTCCCCACTTTGTCGGCACGTCAACGGTCCGCGGAGTAAGATGTAAGAGTAGGGCTTTTGATGATATGATTAGATCTGCATTACTCTTTGTACTTTGAGAGGATATAGCATAGGTCTACACTACACGTGTTACGGATAAATATCTCGCGGATGCTTACGCTTTGTGGATGGATGCAAAAGTTATGCATCGAAGTCTGCGGAAGTATGCGGGATAGTGGAGATAGGAGGGTTGCCAGTGTTGCTAGCGCAATCAGTTGGTAAAGGAGGGGTAAGTGGGTATGTAGTTGGAACTGGAAGGTGAAGTTTGTGCAAGTGGTGGGTGAGTGGTGGGTGAGGGGCGATCTTTGTTGGGTTTGGGGTGAGGTGCTTTTGTGTTGGGTTGGTTGGCTGGGTGAAGGTGGTGAGAGGAGTCAGATGGTTGGAAGGTTGGATTTTGGAGGTGGTGTGGTGTTTTGGGTGTTTTTGGATGGTGGCGATGATATACGAGAAATGTCTTGCGATGGAAATATCTATCGGTATCCTATTGCTCGTTTGCCTGTTCTTCAAATACTACCCGTGCAAGGCGTAGTATCTTACAAATTGCAGATAGATGTTTAGCCTGAGTATTAAACGTTTCTTGCTTAGGGTCTGGTTGGGTGTGTGTGCATATGCATGGCAGCTCGGTCAGCAGGAGACTTAGGTTGATGCAGGGTAGCGGATGCGGCATTGGGGACTGCGGTCGGCGCAATCGTTTTCTTGGTTGTGGGTTAAGTGTGGGGAATGGCGGTTTGTGGGTGGAGATATAGATGGGTTGGGTTTGTTTGATGATTTGGAATTATGGGGTTGTGAGTGGAGAATGATATCTGTGATTTGTGGTTTAGGGTATCCAATAGTTTAAACTAGTAAACTAAATTCCAGCTTTCATTGTTTGGAAAGCTACACATTCTCATGAATGACTTGATCACTTATATGGACTTATTGTTTCAGATGAATTCACGAATGAAAACCTCGAATTTTCGAAAAGCAGCTCGCACTATTGGATTCCCTGATGATCAATGGTGGAGCTGATGAAGTAAGCAGCGGCCGATGATATCGAAAAGCATCTTGAAAGTTTTGGATCATATTCATCATGAAGTATGGTAGTAAAGATTGAGTAAATCTTAATAAGGAAGAATTACTTATCAACCAATAGCACGCACGGGCGTACCATAAACTTACTCCCTATTTGAAACCTTCCTCTGCTCAATCTTGTCCTTCTTCCCTTCCTTGAAACTTTCATCAACAACTACTTCTCTCATCCAAGGTTTCAGTACCTTCTCATCTTTAGCCATCCATTCAGCTTTCCATTCGACATGCCACTCTGCACTCTTCGCATCATTCTTACCATTAATTTTAGTTTGGAGCTAGCGCCTTTGTCAAGTTTCGGCAAAGTTGCCTCCTTGATTTTCCCTTCAGCCTCATTCTTTCTCCAACTTTTCTTCTGATCTCTACGCTCTCTATGCACACAAATCTTGTTTTTGACACCAGGCTGCTCATTCCCCTTTGATCCGTCTCAATATCTCGTTCCACCCACCCACTTGCATCTCTTTGTACCATCGTCTACCCACCT